AAAATTATTATTTATTCTAAAAATACAGTGTCTTTCTACCAATGTTGTTTTAATTCTGCTCTCTCACTCTCTTTCTGACTTTCCAAAAATGAAAGAAGAATAAAATAGGAAAATGGAAGTTGAATAATAGTATGTCTTGTTCTTTGAGAAAGGTAAGTGTGGAAATTTGTACGCTGGCTATGGAGATAGGCAGAGAACAACTGTCAGGAATGTGCAAAATCAAACAATTCAAGAAATACTATAAAAACACTTAAAAAAAAAAAAAGAAGTTGTGCCTTTATGTGATACTTTATATATGGATGATTGCATATTATAATGGCAATCACACACAGACAGAATACTGCACAATATACTGGTGAAGAGACAGCACTGTTGTGGTTCATGACAAATGAAAGTCCTTTGATGAAGAGCACTGCAAATTGTTGTTTTTATTCTAGATCATCCATGAACTGTCAATAAGGAAGAGTAGGCCAAAACCATCCCCAAACCTTACCAGTGAAAAGAGCCATGTGAAAAGAGCCAGAAGATGATTGTGGTGTTCACTTAAAAATAAAAGACCTAGCTGGGCTTTTTTTTTTTTTTTTTTTTTTTTTTTTTTTTTTTTATAGAGGGAAGGAAGTGGTTGTTAAAGTCATTTGCTGTAGCATAGATAACAGATTGAAAGATGGAGGATGGAGAGTTTAAGAGTAGAATTTATGTCTTGGATATGAATCTGGAAGTTTGTTCCATTTAGAAGTGATCCAATACATGAATGGAAAAGCTCTAAGTTAAGTAAATTTGAAGTGAATTTCTAAAGAGGGAAGAGCATGGGGGGGTTAGGAAAGCACATTATTTCTGCAAGACAGAAATTTGATAAAGAAGGATCAGTATCCCAGCATGTTGCTTTCAACAATATGCCCTCTAAAAATGAAGCGTTTCTGTAATGATCTCTAATATTTCTGTGCTGCTTCTGGGTGAAAAATCTTAAATATGTACATAGGTTGAGACATTTAAATAAAATGGAATGATGTACAATGTATATAGAGATGTAGCTGGCAGAGAATTATGTTTCTTACTGGATTTTTTTTTTTTTAATGAAAATCAAGATGCATCAGGTATGCCCCACTTGCAGGAAGGTTAACTGCTGAGCACAGTGTTACTTCATCTAGATAATTTCAGTGGTGTTAGCACAAGCACAGCTCATTTTTACAGCTTGACATAAATAATAAATGAGTGGTTAAAAGCTTCAGATGAGGGTACAACAAATCTCATTGTCTTCTCTTTGCAGTGTGTTGTTCTGTGCAGCTGTACAAAGCATGTAAAAGTAGTCACCATGCGGTCCTGGCTGTGTTTTACATCACTTCTGTACCATTGATGTAATGGTCTGATCAAAGCTCCAACTGGTGGAAGGAATGTCTGATACTCAAACTGGGGGCTCTTCTGTTCGTTGCAAGAGGCCTTCTGGACACTGCATTGGATTAATCCCAAAGTTGCAGACAATGTTCCAGGCATCAGTGTCCAAAATCCTACAGATTTCCATGCAGAATCAAGCAAACTTGAGTGAAATAATTTTAAAATTGGGCTGGTTCTGATTGCAGCTGGAATTATTTAACTAGGGAAGTACTTGGTATAGAGTAGATGTGCAAAATTGTCCAGTACTTGTTGGTTCTTAGCTTATTTGTTCACAGAAAACTGAACACATGCTGAAACTGCAACTAGGTGGTCTTTATTCCTCATCAATATCAATAGTATTAATGGATATTGGAACAGTAGTCTGAAAATCTTCTGAAATTGATTTAGTATGAAGGCAGTGGAAAGCAGTCAACAGAAACCTTACATGGATAAACTGCTCTGAAATACATGTTCATACATCCCTTGGTGTCATGGTTTGGAGAGGAGAACATTGTTCATGTTAGGTTATTTACACAAAGCAGGATGCACTTTCCTTAATTGCAACCAGAACAGCTAGGTAATTATGAACATTTTCAGGCATGCTTGCAAAGCACATAATTTTTCTTCCCTTTTAAATTTCACTGGATTCAGGGAGTTCACATATGTCTGTGTTTTTCATCTTCTAAGGGATCAGTGGGAGTACTAAGCAAAGGAAAGCTATCAGCAGAGGCTTAAATTTACTGTAGAGGATATACAGCTTCAATGGAAAACTTTTATGGGGTCTTCAAACTGAAAAAGACCAGCAACTCACATCAAAGACTAGAAAACAGTTGTCACCTTCTGGCCATTTCTCATTCATTTCATAGGGTTCTGCTTTATTTCTGTGTAAAGGAGTATATATGCTTGCATTCATTACATAACTGAGTTTGAAATTCATTTTATGACTCATCACTTTGATACCGACCTCTGCAGCTGCTTGGATTCTCTTCATTTAAAGAGAGACTATGAGTCAAATGGCTTTCATTACAAAGACATTGTCATATTACAATAGACGGAAGCTGCAGTTAATTTAATGAATGAGGATGCTCTCTGTATCAAAGATTTCTTCTCATAGTCAGATATATTAACTTACATCACCAAAGACCAATAGCAGGAGCTAGTTTTGGTAAGCTGAGCATGTATGTATATGAAAATACAAATTAAGCCTATGGTCCCTTCTGAACAAAATACAATATTCCACTAAAGGAAAATAGATGTATTTGTATTTGCATTCGTCTTAATAAATAGAAATTGACTGGTGATTGTAGGCTCCCATTAATCTATAAGTGGGAAAACTACCTCACCCATGGTATTTTATAGACTTTAGGGCATGTAAGTAGCTGATTCCTACTACTACTGAGGTGATAAAAATGTGTCCATTGTGACGGGATGCCATAACGTCTAGAACGTCTCTGTACTAGAACAATGTAGCATCTGACTCTTCAGTCTGGAATAGAGAAAATAAAAGGATTTCTCCTCCATTCCCCTTTTCTCTAATACTTTCTACTCAGCTTTTAACCTAGAATCGCAAGAAATACTGATGAACAACATCTCAAGAAATCTATCTCCTATCCCTGTGGCAATAAAAATTTATTAAACTTTTCTTGATGGATATTAGTTAACCAAACAAGAAACCCCGTAGAATAGTCTTCCATTGCCTCCCCAGGCAATTGATTTCTGAGCTTTCCTTTGCCTTACAATTAGAGTTCTGTTGTTGTTTTTGTTCCTAATGTCCACCTTAAAATTCTTGCGGCAATTTAGGTCCATCATGTCTTGTCCTAACCAATGTTGATGGATTTAATAACTGTTTCCATGTCTTTCTTCATTAATTTCCTCTCCTGATTAAAGAGTTCTTTGGTGCCTTTGCATTGGCCATATTTTTTATTTGGTGCCTTTGCATTGGCCATCTTTTGATCATTTTACTTACACAACTGTTTTGCTTTTTAATCAGTTAAAAGTTAATTATTTGAATAAAATAATTACACTAAATACTGGGAAGACCAAATCTGTATGGCTTATGAACAGTACTACTTTAATGAAAATTATAAATGTAGAGATTTCTTTATCTAAATGTTTTAAATCATTTAAGATAATACACACACGCACATATATACATAGTAAAGAATCCCACATGTATGCAAATCATGGGAAGTCTACAAAGAGAGAAACCAAAGATATGAATTCAGTGTTTCATGCCTGACTTTCTTGAGTTGTTGCCCTAGTGCTGCATGAAAATGATGGCTAAAGGAGAAAGGCTTACCTGTAACAGCTCCAAGAGATATTTAAATGTCCTGAAGCAGTTTTTCATGACCAAAAGCTTTTTAGTAGAAATTGAAAAAACGGTGCTTACAAGAATACCACTAATTCAATCTCGAATACTAATCGAATTTATTCTGATAGTAATATTTGTTGTTATTGACTGAGATGCAGCTATGTGTTTGGCTTCATGAATTGCCCTGAAAACATTATTTATCCTGCAATCTTGGATAGAAATCATCACATGTCATCCTCCTTTAGCTCCCAATTCAGCAAAGCAGTTAAGTGCATACCTAATTCTGAATAAAAGCTTAAATCTAACTGACTTTGGTAAGAAACAAATATGTGTTTAGCATTAAGCACTTTTTAAAGTGTTTTTGTTGCTCATCACAACATTATTTTCAGGTGGCTTCCTTTTCTTTAGTATTCAGCATTTGGTGCTCTCTGATTTATTGCTTATGGTACAATGCATCTTTCATCACTACCTTTCATGCTCCTTTATTGCTTAGATGTGTACTGGTGCTATAAATAATTCTGTTGTGTGAGTATGAAAGAACAGTTGCCTGTAGCAAATACCATTGTATGTTGTCACTACATTTGTGAAGGTTAAAGATTAATGATTTAATGAGGTACTTAATAATGTTCACATTATATATCATATATCCTCTATCCATTTGCATTATTTTTTTGTCTTGCTTTTGCTAAGGGAAGAGGTGTTATTGAATAAGAGCAGCTGCAATAGCTATTTGACAACACTAAAGAGGGCAGTTTCTTTAGAGCTGCAAAGGCTTCAGCCTTTTAAGGCTTGGGACTTTTACTGAATGGAGGCAATGTGCTTTCTCTGTTCCTGTCTGTTGTGTAGCCTCTCTGGGCGGAGAACTCAACTTGATATGTGGAAACACTGTGAAGCCTACCTGTAACTATAGGAGGAGCTGTGAATTTCAAGTTTCTGGCAGCTGAGAATAGTAAATTTGTAAATGTGGCTGGGTTTTAAGCAACACCACATTTCCTCTTAGCTCAAGTATTCCTTCATTCTGCTTGTTGACTTGCAGGGTCTGAGCTTTAATCACCTAACTCTTCCAGCATGCAGTATATGGAGCCTACCTGCCTAAATCCATACCATCCACTTAACTAGTGGGGAATCATGTCAGGTGGAGGAGAACAGAGATGTGAAGTCTAAGTCCTCTTGTGAATTCATAATTGTCCCAATAAGGTTAGTTTATTGCTGAACTGAGTAAAATATGTTGATGACCAGATGTTACTGGTAAACCCCTCATTTGGGAGATGATGCTGTTTATGGCTTAGACATGTTATGGCAGTGGAAGGCAGGATTCTTTTTTTTTTTTTTTTTTTTTTAATCAAAAGACAGTGATTTATTTGAAGTACTGTATCTAACACACCTCAGGCTCATTGTGTTCTGAATTCCAAGCAGTTCCTGCAGAACTGCACCAGAGTTTGCAAAGTCTCTATTTGAGCTTAAGAGGCCAAAAGCTCATGAATTTTTGGCTCTCAACAGACAGATGCTCCTTTCAGGCCTTCAGATTGTCAATTTGTGCAAAAGGTTGTGAAAGCACATTGGAACAATAGGGATTGTGGGTACGAAGGGAAGAAAGTTTACATGAGCTAGAAACCCTGTTTTTTAACATCCTCCACTTCAAGATAGAATACTGAAATATGTCTGTGTAGCAGCTGGGAATACCTGAAGGTGTAGGTATGTTCATGGATATGAGACAGCAGAAAACTCAATGATATGGATGAACTGTGCAGTAGCATGAGTAACGCCATGGTGAGCTTTATGTAATTTGTCGGTTGTATCCTTCCTCCAACTTTTTACTGGAACAGTGCGGGCAGGACTGATGTGTCAGTCACCCATAATCACCTCGAGAAACCCATTCTGCTGCCTCTGACCTCTGTAGGGAATTTTTTGCTCATTCTTATGGACAGAATGTGGAGCTCCTGTCTCCAGAGGGCTCCAGCAAGCTCCATATTTTGATGAGAAATGCCAGTGAAGCCAGGCTTGCTGTTTATATGGGTTATAAAGAGAGCACAAGCTGAATATACTTACAAAAGAATCGAAATGCAACAATGACAGATGCTTGTAAATATTTTTTGTAAGATGTTTTTTTAATATGAATAACATTAAATCATGTAGGAGATAGCTCATGTGTGCACACCAAGAAAAATATTCTGTTGCATTTCACCATAAAAGACAGTTACCATGTTTTGGCTGAGCCAAAATGACTGGCAGCCAGCCTGAACTTGGGGCTACTGGCCATATTTCATGTGAAATTATGAAATTTGGCTGATAAGCAAGAATTTTATGAGCCTGTGGAGAATACATGAGGACCTATTAATGATAGCAGAGGATGCTGTGGTCCCCTGACAAGGAGCAGGGTGCAGAAGGGTGCTAGCGCTAAGCAGGTAGGTGTGAGATATCCCCCTAAAAACCTCTGGGTAGTGATGATGGAAGAGAGACATTAAACACTGAGGTCTGTCTTTTTGCCTACATTAACTCTGAAGGGAGAGGAGCTCAGCTTAGTGCATGGGAAATATCCAAGGTCTTCTGAGCAACACAGTTAATAGAGACAGGGAAGGAGAGAAATGATGACAGAAAAATCTCTGTTTTGCTTCATGTTAGCCACATCCCAGGTGGATGTTCAGCAGATCCCTCCCTGCCTTAGGTCTGGGACACACCAGGACTGGTTCACAAAGGTGAAAGGCCTTCAGAAAAGTGCAGAGAGCACTGCTACAAACCAGCATCTTAGAGACAGGGTGGAGTGTGGGTGGAGATTGGAGCAGCAGGGCTGAGGGGCAAGGAGTGCTTCGTGATTTTTCTTTGAATGGCAGTTCTGAAAAAAAAAAAAACAGCCAGTGATTTTCACATGGACTAATTCCCTGAAATGGGAAGTATGACCCACAGTGGCACAGAGGCCACAGGTTTGGATAGATGGGTGGTGTTGCTGATTTTTAAACATCAGTGTTGCTAGTTTTCATTTCTTTTTCACTGGTTCATGCAATAAAAGTCACGGAGAAACATGGCTTCCTCAAGACCATTCCTGCTGTCACTGATGCTCTGTCAAGCCCCTATTAAGTTTGAAAGGCAGCCTATAGAAGTTTCACTACTTTTTAAATGCTGGGTTTGTCCTCAAACTTAAGTTTAAAAAACAACATGGGATTCCTCACACACAGCAGTAGGCAGCAGCTGATTCCTGACTTCTAAAATCCAGACCCTGTAGTGCCTGCTTTATTTTCAGAGAGTGCACAGAGTTAAGGTGGTCTTTGAAAAGCTATTTGGGAAAAATAAACGTCATGTTACTGCAAAATGCTAGAATCTGATCAGACACTTGCAACCTGCCATATTGCGGGTTTCTTAAATATTTCAAGGTCCTGTTGCAGACCGGCTTCATCCATCAGTGTATCTGCAGTTTGGTCAGATACAGGAGCTAGAAAATTATCTTTTCTAGAAGCATTACATGTGGTGCAATCTGTCATTTGAAAGTAATGTAATGCTGCCTTTTCCCTGCTGTACCAATAAAATAAATCAGGGTGAGCATGGCAATTCAGCCCTGCAAGGTGATTTTGCTCTTACTCGTAAGATCCCTGTCCTAATAGAGGCATCCCATTAATGGCAAGTCAAATACAAGTTTGATCATTAGTTTGGTCATTAATAAAGTGTTGTTATGGTGGCAAGCACATCATCATGACATGCTCACTTGGGTACTGTAATCACTGCATAAGCCAACTGCTCTAACACACATTACCTTAAGGGTGCTCCATGCTGTGAAATGAAGTGTTGTTCACTTCCTTCATTTTAACTGTTGGTGTTGTCAGGTTAACTCTTTCACTTGAAATGCAGCAGTAAAGGTGCAGAAACCACAGATGGCTGAACACCTTATTTATCCACATTACAGCCTTCAGGAGGGAGGTTCCAGTGTGGTCTAGTGCTCTATGCTGTTAAAAAATAAATAAATAAATAAAATAAAAAGACATAAAAACACAGGCAGTTTGTTTTCACCGCAGGTGCTGGTCCAAGCTTTAATGTACCACCCACTTGAACTAAATGTGTAACCCCAAGTAACTGTGCTCTTTAAACTAGACAAATTGAACCGCTTGGAGGACACCCTGGACTAGAGGTGATGCAGTGGCACCAGGGAGCCCCTTTACACCATTAGAAAAGGAGCCAAACCCTGATAAGGGAGGACAGCAGGTGCTGCCCTGTCCTTATCCAATTCTTACCTGCCAGCTCAGCTGATGCCAGGAACAACAGTAAAGAGGAAATATAGTCTGTTTCTATCCTGAGCAGAAGGTTTGTGCTCCTAAATGATGCCACTCTGAAGATCTGGGTCTGAGTGTAGGTAAACCAGTAAGAAACAGTAAGAGGCCAGTCTGGTAGAGCCCTATAGCCTCTTGGTTTCACAGGAGGCATTCTGTTTTTATTTTTATTTTTATTTTTATTTTTATTTTTATTTTTATTTTTATTTTTATTTTTATTTTTATTTCCTGTGGAATATTCTTTTTGTTTGTTTGTTTTAATATTCTGGAAGTCTTGAAACATTAATAGCTTTATCTATGCTTAATTAAATTTAAAAAAAAAATAAAAAATTACCTGGCCTGAAGCAAGGAAGCTGAAATTTTCTATTTTAATTTTTCCGTATCAGTGAGCTGACACCCCCTCTCCTCATCGGTTATTAGCATAGCTCCAAAAAGTAGTGTGGAACAACTGGCATTATAGAAGGTGATATGCATATATAGTGTCACCTAGGCTGAGCTACAGGTATGCTATGATGTAGAATCATATAATCATTTAGGTTGGAAAAGACCTTCAGGATCAACGAATCCAACCAGCCACCTAACACTACCAGTCCACCACTAAACCACACCTCTAAGCACCACATCCACATGTCTCTTAAATACCTCCAGGGATGGAGACCCCACCACATCCCTCAGCAGCCCCTTCCAAGGCCTCGCTACCCTCTCTGAGAGGAAATCCTTCCTGACACTCAGCTCAACCTTCCCCTGGTACAGCTCGGGGCTGTCACCTTGTATCCTGTCATTTGTCACCTAAGCAAGGAGAGCAACACGCTGCTCCTGGCTGCAGCCTCCTGTCAGGCAGCTGTGGAGAGTGGGGAGATCTGCACTCAGCCTCCTCCTCTCGAGACCGAGTAGCCCCAGGGCCCCCAGCTGCTCCTCACAGCTCTTGTTTGCTCTTCACCAGTTTTGGTGCTCTTCTCTGCACATGCTCAAGCAACCCAAATCTTTCCTGTGGTGAGCACAGTGCTCAAGGTGTGGCCTCACCAGAGCTTTGTACAGAGGGACAATCTCTTCCCTAGCCACACCAGTCACACTATTCCTGATACTAGTCAGGATGCTGTTGGCCTTCTTGGCCACCTGAGCACACTGCTGGCTCATGTTCAGCCTGCTGTCAACCAGCACCCCCAATCTTGAATTAATTCTGTACAGGTATGTTATAACTTATTTGATGTAGTTGATGACCTGTGACTGAGTATCATGGGAGTCTGGGATGAATTAATAAAACATACTTTCTTTTTTTTTTTCTTTCCCCAATTACAGAAATGGAATGAGAAGTACATGTATATTATATATATGTATAATTTACTGTTCAGTCTTTGTACTCTTATCTATTTGACAGTCTGGAACAGTGATTTTAAATTCACCTATTCCTAATTATTTGATCTTCTCCCTTGACTATCTTAACCTTCTTCAAACAGAAGAGATTTATCTTCAGAGCATGTGAAGATTTGAACAGAACAAATTAGATGCTGACATGACTTTTTTTTTTTTCCCCAGCATAATTAAAATGCATGACAAAGTTACATTTCCATACCTGTAAAAAAAGCATTTTATTACATTAAATATTGAATCCAGGACAGTTAATCCATATTTATCTTACAGGATCATGGCCAAGACTGTAAAACTCCTACCCATCGATCTTTTCTTGAACTATGGGAAAGATCTATACTAAAATTATGGGATAAGATTGCCTTATAAAGTTCAGGCAAATAGTCACAGTTGAGCAGTGTTTAAATCAGTAGTCCAAATCTTCCAATACTCTGCTGCACTCCATCCAGAGAGTTATTGGTTGCTCGTATGCAAATGACATGGTGACTCTTTGGGTGCGTTTAACAGCACAAATGATGCCTGCTTTGCTTTTCTTACTAGTGCCATGCTGCAGGGGAGGGATCGCACACACCTGGGCAAGGGATAGCAGTGCCTTTCTGGTGCTCCTCAAACAGGCAGCAAGGAATACAAGCCTCTGTCTCAACCATCTTGCATTTGGAGACTGGGAAAATGAACCAGATGCAGGGCATGAAAATCCAAATGAGGCCACAGGCTTTTACAGGAGGAGCAGTTGTATGTGAAAGTTATTTGCTAGAGACTTCATTCTCAAACACTTGTTTAGATCCTATCCCCAGTTTGCCATTTGTCACCTTTTCCCATTCTGGTATGGGAAATGCATTGGCTGCACAGGCTTTTTTTTGGTTTTAAACTGACTGCTTTCCAATGTCCATTTCTTGGGCTTTATATGAATACTCAGGAGGTTCTGAAATTTGGTCTAAGCCATTTAAATGTCTGCCTACCTATATCTATATCTATACATATATATATATCTATACCTAACATAATGTTATGTATAAAGATTGCCAGATATATCATCAGAAGTACAGGTACACTTTAAAGTTTGCTAGTGTTGAACTCCTCGAAACAGGGTATCAAAAACTATTCTTGTGAAATATCTTTCACAAAAAGGTTTGTTTGTGTTGAGTGAAATTAATTAGTTTGAGGTCAAATCATTTTGACAAAAAAAAAGTTAGGAATAAGAATTTTTTGTCTTGATGGTTTAGGGTGGGTATTTTTAGTTTCTTTAAAATGCCATAAAATAGCTGTTTCTTTTAAACTTTTAAGTCAGTGCTATAGGGAATTCAGACATGGCTGCTAGGGTTTTTGTCATGATAATAAGGGATAATTTTCAGCTGTTGTTGATTTATTTTTCACTGTAGCTGCTATGGATTGCTGCTTGGTGGAGAGAGAGAACAGAGAAGACCAGGTACCAGCAGGTTTTCTGTGAGATGCTCTAATTTGTGTCACTCCTGACACGAGGTGGTGAAAGCCATTTCAGACTTATAGACCCTGGCACAGGGCCAGATTAGTTAGATTTTTTTTTTGAGTTGCCTAAAACCACCAACAATAAGGTCTGCAAATATAATTTCATACTTTCCCGTGACTTAGCATAGCTTCTCAGATTCACATTTTCATGTAAGTTAAATAGAAGTTGGTGAAAGGCATTGTACCTGAACAGACTTCACTGAAGTTCACAGCCTATCTGTACTGCCTGCTGCTGGCTGTGGTGACAGATGGCTGGTAGCAAGATGACTGATAATGGGGAATGCATCTTAGAAAACCCCGCATTAAGACCTTTGAAATGAAAAACTAAGATTACAGAAATAATTTTTTTTCTAATTATTTCTCTATTAGTAGTAAAAAGACTGATATTTTTTCATTCTTTTGGTCATCCAGTCATTTAAAAAGAAGCAACATGGACTGCTGAAACTGCACAGAGAGACAATGAGTCAGCACAGAAATTAAAGTCTTGAGTTTTTTTCCCATGAGTGTTGCTCCTCTCAGCAGCTTATCAGTGTTTTTTCCTACTTTTTTCATTCCTTTTAATTTTAAGTATTTCAGAATAAGTGTCTTTTGCACCTGCCTTTGGTTAACTGATTGAAACACACGTGGGACCACATTCAATTGTGCATTCAGTGCAGCCACAGCAATTCTTCTGATTAGCAACACATATAAAGGGTTTCCAATTAACCTGAAAATAGTGGTATAATTCAGCTACAGAGGGTGTGTAAACAGTACTGTGCTAAGACAAATCCTACAGTGAAACTGAGAGGTTGGGTATGATTCCTGTAATTGCTCAGGGCTTTGGCTGGTGGTAAATACATTGTCCTCATACTTAAATATCCATGCACAGACCAAATCCAAACACCAGAAAATGAGCCCTACCTATTTACCATATCTGACTTTGGATGGTCCTTCCAGGCTGCTTGCTTAAAAAATAAATGCAAAAAACTTAAGTTGTCAAAGAAGGGAAACATCAATTCACCTATGAGACATACTTTAAAACAGACAAAAATAACATACCCACATTTGAATAAAAGTGTCTTTCTTTCTTTCTTTCTTTCGTTCTTTCGTTCTTTCTTTTGTTCTTTCTTTCGTTCTCTCTTTTTCTTAATTTTATTTCTTTCTTTCTTTATATATATATATATATTATTTATTTATTTATTTATTTTTACCCCCAGCAAATGTTCTTGTCCTGATATCACAAGTTTCTATTCTCGATAGGACTATGAAGGTGCAAGGCACATCAATGAGTAATTAGTATAGATAGGTACTACTCATGTTCCAGAGTTTATTGAATATAAGTCATTGTTAATCCTACATGTAGTTACAGGTGAATTGAAATCACAATCCTAAAACATTGCATTGTTCTGATATCATCATTCTTACCAGATTCAGCAAATACTCTGATCTGGTAATAACAGCTGTGCCTTGAAACATTACATCATAAAATGTGAGGATTGAAAATCTTTGCCAACAGAAAATGATTTTGTGTGTGTGTGCAGCCTTCAGCTTTTTGATGACGGTCGAGGTCTTTTATGAAAAGAGTATCAAAACTTTTTATGAGATGATCATAGAAAATGTGAAAAACAGTGAGGCCTATCAACTAACCAATAGGTTTCCCAATCAGTTCTGGTGTTAAGCATATGAAAAATGAAATAAAAAGACAGATCTTTGGTAATACTTAGACAGTATTTCCTTAGCTTGTGACAACAGATTTTCAAAATTTTCTAAAGGAGACCCAATGGTTCAATTTTAGCTGACATTTTGGAAGTGTATTAAAATCCCTTAAGCAACTCCTATGATAATTTTTTAAATTATTCATTTTTAAAAAAAGAAAATGAAAAGAAAAATTATTATACACATTTTATTTCTGTAGAGAAATAAATCAAAGCTCTCTGTATTGTTTTGCTCATCACCTTCCCGAAGAGGAGAGACTTTAATTAATTCTGTCTCTGAGAAAGATATTAAATCCTCATCTAATCCCCAAGCAGCAGTTCATATAAAGTCTTGAATTATTTTGCATGTTCAGAACCACAGAAAACATTATTTTCTCCTAAAGCAAATTGTGCTACAAAAATGATGAATGCTTCAAATGCAGAGATGGTTTGCTTCTCCTTCATTTAATCTCTAATTTGATACATATGTGAATGCATAATGATACATATTTATTTATTTATTTATTTCCTTCAGAGTTCCTTTCTGCTCTGAAAAGAAAAACTAAAGAACTCTTCAACAATTTTAGTCTTTTTAGAAGTTCTGAAAACTTGACACTGGGCGGAAAGATCACCACAGCTCATGTTGATTCCAGGTTTGTTTCTAATGACTAACAAATCATGTTTTGTGTGTGCTATTTTACTCCACCCACACAACTGTTAAGCACTGGAAACTTTTTGAACTCATTTCCTAACTGGTACTTATTGTTTTATTCTGTCTAGCTTTATTACAAGAACAATATGACCTGAATCAGTGTTATGTTCATACACAGACTGGAAATATCTTGCCTAACAAATGGAGACGTTATTTTGTCTATAGAAGCCCATTTACTTCCATGAGAATCTGGCACTACCTCTCCATAACTCACTGCAGTTAGAACAGTTGTTGCAAGGGTACCTAGCAAAGCATTCCTAGGGGTAGTGTGATCAGTTGGGTAATTATGCCCATTCTGACATTTGTCCGAACATTTGTGTCATAATACATGTACAATTGTGAGCAAAGAATCAATGCTATAAGATATCTAAATTATTCTGTGCATCTCATTGAAATGACATTAAGTCCAGCCAAAAAGTCTATTCAAATGTGGGGCACAACAATACTGGACTGAGTTGATGTGACCAGTTACAACTTGCTGTATGGCCAGTCACTAGGTGATGTGAGTACTTATATCAAGTATTTCCAAAACCTCATGACAGTTGCTAAATTGTGTATTTTTCTTTAGATAACATTGTTTCTTTGAACAACTTTTCTGCTTCCAAATCAGTGTGTGGAGTAGTCCTGTTTCACTCCTTTTTCTTCACAGAATCCAAACCATAATCAGATGGATATATTTGTTCACAAATATATATTTGTTCACAGCATCTTTCTTCATTTTGTAAATGAAAATATATATCTTAATGTGATCAGGAACAAGAATAAAATGGCCTTGATATTCTAAACACTTCACAATAGTATCCAAAGAGGCATTCCTGAAAAGTGTATTAGCAAAAGACTATAGGATTTTGGAAATAAAATTTTGAATCACAGAGGACTGAGTAATTTACACCTCTATTCCAGTCTGTGAAGAACTGGCTTGCAGAAGACTATTTTCAGTGTCATTTGTCTAACACCAAAAACCTATGTTGTTGTACTGCCTACCAGATCTGGATTACTGTTTTGGCCAATGTATGTTATTAAATACACCGCTCATGGCAATGTACAGGGGCACTTATATGCATAAACAAAGGAATAAAGACTGCTTCTAGGTGAGGTCTTTGAAGAAGCTGAGACAGTTACCTCATTGAATATCTCTTTAGTTCTTTCTGTTTCCTAGCCCTTTCCTCTGCTCTGCAATCAAGAGAAGTCAAAATAAATGCTGGCACAAAGCTGGTGATAGCTCGTTCCTTGTGCTGCCTGAAAATAGACATCCTCTTCCTCTACAGAAATGACCTGGGATTCAATTGTATGTTGTGGTTGATATTGATTTCTGACTCCCAATCTGGTTCTGACATGGGTCATATTCTACCTGTGAACATTTGTTGTTGTTGTTTTATTTGTTTGTTTGTTTGTTTGTTTTTCTGTCCACATGATGCTTTTGGAGGGCAAAGCAGTGGATGAAGTATATCTTTCTCTGGAGAGCCTCAAATCCTCAGCTTCAATAATTGAGGAAGTTACACAGTTCAAATTGTCCTTCACATGCCTGTTAGTGGTGGCAGTGCAGTACATTTAGTTTACTCCATCCTAGGCTTTATTAAAGGGAAATTGGGTGTAACCCATTCCCCTTCAGAAGAGTGGTTTGTTTTCTTTCTTTCCATATGCGTGCATGCATTCAGACGTGAAGGCTGTTAGAAGTATGCCTGCTACTGCAAAGGGTTTTTTCTCTAGCTCTGCATAGTTTCTTTGGCCTTTTTTTAAAGTGGAATTAAGCCTAAGAGCAGTTAGAATTCAACTGGCTGCTTCTATATTTAATAAATAATAACCCTGCCATGAAATTGTAATTGGCAATAAAAAGTCCTGCAATTCATCTAACAGCTTTCCACCTCCCTTGTAAATCTGCACTTCTACACTGCTGCTCATTGCCAGAAGACAGAGTGTATTCTTAACTTCAGATACAACTTCTTCCACAGAAATGAGGACTGGGATACAGGCACTTTAAATTCTTTCCTACCACACTTTATTTTGTTCTCCTACCTCCCCTTGGGCACAGAAGTCCTCCAGTTTTTTGACCTCCATTGAAGTTTGTGCTGGTCTTTTCCCAAGCTCTTAGTGTTGATGGATTAGCCTGATTTCTCTCAATATCCCTCTTTGTAGCATCTATAGTACCATTTGATCTGAGATGGGAATTTGTAGAGGAACAAGGAGCTTTATATCTTCCCACAACTGCAAGTCCATGTCTTAGCTATTAGATTATTCTTCATCCCCTGCAGAGGAACAGAGAGGTTCATCAGTTCCAGGCATCCTCTGAACTCCAATGGGGGAGCAACTCTTAAATTATGGTAGGCTTTAACAATGGATTCAACATCTTGTGTGCCACCACTGGAGGTTGTGGGCAGAACTTGAGGGGTGGGAGGAAAGAAGTACTTCTCTCCCCAAGCAGTCATGATGTGACATCTGTAAGACATAGTCTAAGATGAACTGACAATTGGTTGTAGTTCAACTAAATGTGGATGAAGGGAAGAAAAATGCTGTAAAGCAACAATATGAAAACTATACTGAAAATAATTCCTGGTTTGAAATCACATACGCATTAAAAGCAGTGAAAGGCACCACCATCGGTGGTGGTTGTTTAAAGCACTGCAAGATATCTGCTTGTGGAAACCTGGACCTTGGTTTTCCTCCAACAGCCTTCCTGTACGGTGCTAAACAGGGCTGTTGCCCTGCTGAGACTCTGGCATTTAGCTCAGGAGACTGTATAAATGCACAAAAAACTGCTGAAGCCAGTTTTAGATAAAATGGGAGCTGCAACTGCATGCCCTCTCTGCCCACTCTCAACTGACCTTTGTGCTTGTTTTTGTTACGAGGGCACTGCAGCAGAAGGAGGGTAGGATAGGGCACTCAGACTGTTGGTGTTGTGCTCCTCATGGTCATCCCGTGGCTGGACATGTGTTCTGTGGGGTGGCTCTGTGCCTGCCGGCCTGCTGGGGGCCAGCTGGGGCTCACCTGCAGCTGCACTGCCTGTTTGGTAGCTCAGATTTGTTTTGGAGCTGCTTTCCCATCCCAGCTACTGTGGGCATGCCAGCGCTTCGAGAAGGGTGGATTTTGGAAGTAAATCTTTCTGGTGACTAGGAGCTGTCTACTGGGTGGTGTGCCATGCATTACCTCTTGCCAGGACCTGCTGGGATGGGTGCCATATCCATATCCTGGATACCTGCTCAGCTCCTTGAAAGCAGGCGTGCTCCCATGCTATATAATGAATAATATGATGTTGACTGCCTTGATATTGTATGGGAATGCATATTTATCAGGCTTCTGTTTCAGGTCATGGGCCTTGGCTCTTTTTTTTTTTGCTAAAGATAGCTGTGATTCTGTCCCTGAACAGGAACTATCCTGGGAGAATCAGGCCCTTGTGAAATACATGATTTTCTTCATGGTTGTGCTGCTACAAAGAGAGGAAAGGATTTGAAATTTCAGAGTGTCTGACACTTCCTCTGACATGACATTCATATTTAATATCATTCTTCTACACACTTTCTTCACCTATATGCTTCTTCTCAAAGACAATTCCTTAAGAATTGCTTATTCTTCTCCAAGAGTTTATTTGCAAATACAGATAAATGCCCATTAATCCTTTCTTTCAAATGGACCACCCTGAATTAATACCACAAGCAGAAATGAAGATGTGAAAAAGTTCTCCTTGAAAAAATCATTTTTGTATGGAAGAGGAATAAAGTGCTCATCTTTTGTCATTACTATTAGAAAAATGCTCTGTGATTTTTATGACCCTCCTTCTTTACTAATGGAAAAATACAGATTTTTTTTTTTTTTCAAAAGATACAATCCAAAACGTCAATCTATAGAAAGAATCCACCCTCTGGCAGTCTGGGGATCTGATTCAGAGCTGGATAGATACTGACTGGCCAGAAATCAGGCTGGACCTAGGCAGAGATTTGTCATCTCATTCTGTGAAGGCTTTGAATATTTCAAGTTTGAGTTTCTACAGATTCCGAAAGAAAATCAAACACATATTTCTCTGTATAAGGGAGAGGCTCTTCAGTTCCATCTGCCAGCCTCTAACTTCAGAACTCAGAAATTAACTCATACAAGATCGTTGCTATTTCAGGTCTTAGAGGATTTAGAAGCTTGATGTTTTCTCTGCCTGGTGTGGCTAAAAAATGTGTAAAATTGTGATTGTAAATGCTGGGGGTACAGTCACAGCCCAGCTAAGGGAGCCTTATGTGGAACCATCAGACTGTTGCTGCGAGTCATGCAGGGGAGCTGGAGTGAGGTGCAGATCATGCAAGCCAGAGACTAGCAGTAGATGTGAGCCCCATCACACGGAAGGCACACATGGTGTCCTCCCTGCTGCACCTGCAGCGCTGCCCTCCAAGAGCCCTGAAATATGGGCATCCCTTCCCAGCACTGGGGCCACCTGCAGCCTTGGCTGGTCCCATCACTGTAAACCTGGTTATCTCTGACCCATGCTGAACAGAACTGCACCCCACCAAAGGCACAGTGCAAACAGAAAACAACATGCATGCCAAGCAGCTTCAAAATTAAAGGAAAACTGATGTTTCATGCAGGTTTCCATGTCAGGCAACAGGGATTGTGTCACTAATGTGCAATTTCTGTGTTGCTCCTGTGCAGTGGGGATGCAGGAAGGCAGCTCTGCTGTGGTCCTCACCGCCATCAGCAGCAGCTGTGCCCCTCTGAACTGCCCAGTCAGCTTTGGGGGAGAAGGACATGGGGAACAGCAGGCTGACCTTCCTCTTCCAAGGCCACTCTATACAGATTTGTATAAACATGTTGTTTTTTGTTTGCTTGTTTGTTTTTAATGAAAAGCAATTAACTTGTCAAATTGTTAGAAGCAAGAAATATCTCATTCTCTTTCTTTCTGAAGCCTGATAGCCTTATTTCTTCTTTGCATTTAATATGATTATGTCTAACTACTCCAGGGTACAGGAAAATACAAACAGCAAGAATCTAAATATTTTTGCAGTTTCTTTCCAATACAGGCTAAATACAGAAAAGCCAACTCTACTGTAAATTCTGTACAATATATACACACATATATATAACCTTGAGCCTCTGCATTTCAGACATGCCTAATTTTTTAAACTATTAGATGCATCTGAAGGTTGAGATCAGCTAAATTTGGGGAAATGATCAACGGTATTAATCTCCTGATTTCACTTTTTGTTTCCTTCTCTTCCCAGTAAGGAAAACCATGCTGTTATGGGGAGACACACGATGCATGTTGCAGGTCTCCCCCCTGTGTCTGCACATGGAAGATGAGCATAAAGCTTTGTTACACACAGCAGCTGCAAAGAGTTCTACTTAGCTTGCACTGGAACCATTTATGCTCTAGTTTTCCAGTCCCTTGGTTCAAAGCTATATTTGAGAAATACAATTTTGTGTAGGTTCTGAGACCAAGGTAAAAAGAATGGCCAGTGAAGTGGTGCCTAAAACAAGTCTTCTCTGTTCTTCTTCTGAATATTCCATTCTCTTTGCTTAAAGATTATTTTCAAAATTGTTTAATATTTCCTATATAGGAAGCATGCTTACGCTGTGGTGTAGTAAAATAGTGAGACTTAAAAAGAGAAATAGGTTAGGTTAAGAGAGTAAAAATCACATTTTATTATATATCAGAAAAAAAAATGTGTTTATATAAGACATATAAAAACATTAAAAAAATAATTTGAGAGCGTCTTTTGTAAAAACAGTGGGAAGACTCAATTTCTCTCTATGTAAAACCACCTAAATCTCTTCAAGCACTGAAATTCTCAGAGACTTTTCAAACTCCTGGCTGAGGAAAACAAAGTCAGTTGTAGGAATCAATCAGCTATTCATTATCCACCGAGGAACTGCTGGGATTTGAGCTTGCCTGCTATAGGCTTTTGAGATTCAATCAGTAAAGTCTTTTATTTCTCCATTCATTCCAGGGGTATTCAAACAGTTTGCTTAATCTTGGGAATGGTGAAGGGTGGAGGGAGCAAACCCATATGTCAAATTTCAGATTTTTTTTTTAGAGGCTTAAAAAATAAGAAGATAAGTATTTTTTGTTTGTTTGTTTTTGTTTTGTTTTGCTTTTCCCTAGAGAATTAGTTTAAATATAGATATGGTACCACAGACAGTCCATGGCTTAAAATGTTGTGATCAACCACAAAACAAACAAATGAACTAACAAACAAAACAGCATTTCAGCAAAAACAGCCATCAACGAAGCAGGGCAGTGACAGTGACAATAATCGAAGACAGAAAAGGTAAGAGTAATGGAAGACCTGAATTACCTCTTCTTTTACCTGAATTACCTTTTTAACACCATAAGCATTACTTACAGCAACCAGCTGGCAAACCCACAAGAAAAGTCACTCTTGATTTAGTCCTGAGAGCTGTGCAGGATCATGTATGTACTGAAAAGCTCCTTAGCACCTCTAATATGCTTGAGACTACCATCTGTGTGGGAATGAGTGAGCCAAAAAAATCCCAAAAAGACAACATTCAGTGCAGGAAGTTTTAAGTAAGTATTGATCACTGGTGCATATAGATCAGTGCTGGTTCTTTCTCTTCATGAATGGTTCTAATTATCTATATGGGCCAGGACCAATCCTCCTCTGGATGACTTCAGCATATTTTGGCAAAGCCTGAATATTGCTTGGGCACCCAGAAGATTCTCCAATTCCTCCAAGCTTCTGTCCTGCAGGTAACAGGAGATGGAGAAATTGAGTTGGTGGGACATGGCTGTGAAAATAGACTGAGTACTGCTTATGATTGCTCTGTCCTGAGGCAGAGCAACTCCACTAAGCTGAACAAATCCTGGATGCACTAAATGTGAGTTTGTGCCCCAGGTCCATGTTTTTACAGCCATGCCTGGCTCCAGAGCTGGCATCTCTGGATGCCAGAGAGTCCTGAGACTACAAGGCATATGGATGAGTCCACATGTGCTGACTTTCTTACCAGCTGCTGGTCCAGCTGCTGGAAAGAGCATGTGGATGGCTGTTGATAGAGTTATGCTGAAAGAGCTCAAAGGGCTGGTGCCAGCTTGGCTTTTTTTTTTTTTTTTCTTCCTTTGCTTTTTTATTTTTTTATCACTCAGCTACGCTGAAGCCTGATGCCTCTGGTAGCCAGTGGTGGAGCAGTGAGAAGCTGTTTTTGCTGCTTTGCTTTTACGGGAGAGACTTGTCTGCGTGAACTCTTAGGAAAACAAGCACCTAGACAATTCAAGCAGAAGCCGGTGATGGAGGTCAGCTCCACAGAAGCCAGCAGCAGGTCCCCAGCTGGCACCGGCTGGCTGGATTTCACCCTTGTCACCTGCACTGAGACAGTGACTTTCACTGAAGTGGTGGAAGAAGAGGAGTGGGGATCCTTTTACTATTCCTTCAAGGTACAGCCAGCGCATTACTTTTCTCACAAGCTGTGGTGCATTTTCAGCACCTCTGCAGGGAGGCAGCTAGAATTATTGAACTTTTTGCTTTTGTATTTGTGGATTTTGCCCTCCCAAGACAGGTGACAGCATATGTGAGGCATTTACTGAAAAACAAAAGAGTTACAGGATTTGGAGTTCAGACTTGCAGGTCTTAGCCAATTGTCTCCCCTTAGAAGAGAGGGTGGTACTGCTTTTCTAAAGTGGCATTGTAATTATACATGCATCTTTAATCAAAAGTGCATATCAGTTTAACAGATCTTGTACATAATTTCTTCTAGCCATAGTCTTGACATAAGGGATTTCTTTTCAATTTTCCATCTGTAACAAACATCTGCACACAAGTGAGACATAATTTGTGTGTGTGTGTTGGCTTCTTTGTTTTAAAAACAAGAGGGACAGGTTTTAATTAGTTAGCTTGTTTATTTGTTTTCAACCTGAGAGGGGGATGCAGCATCTCTTTAAGAACATACAGGATGAATGATCCAGTAGTGAATGCTGTTGAGTGACACGAGAAGTGTATTCATTCATCGCCCAAAATAAACATCACCCTTGCAATATGTGAATGTGGAAAAAGATGAAAGAGGTACTGAGTTACATCTTTGCTTCAGCTTTCTGTGCCTGTTGTCACTGCTTAATTTCATGCCGTGTGTCATGTGTCACTTTACTGTAGTTGTATCAGTTATGTTCAAGTTATTAAAAGGGCTGGCAAGAAGTACACTGCCATTCCCTAAGGAGCTTCACTTTCAGACAGATAGGTATAGGCACTCACCTTGTCTGAGAATATAGTTGGTTATCAGGAATACATTCAGAATTTTGATTTCTAGGAGATTGATAATACTCTGGTACAATGCACATGGGATCAAAGGAGTTACCACTGGTTTTCACCTCTGCTAAGGAAAAAGTTTATTTCTATTCCTACAATTCATTAATTTGGGTCTCATTTAATATTATACTTTTTTACTTTTTTTTTTTCCTTCTTGCTAAGACAGTACTTTCTTATGTGGGATGTCAAGGGTGACAACTTTCTGTTTTCCCTTTTTATTTTTATTTTATTTTTCTCTTCATGTTAGACTCCTAAAAGGCTCTTGAAAAAACAACACAAGCGAGGAGCAAAACCTTTTTTTACTATTTTTTCTTTATCTCCTTTCTTCTCTTCACACTGAGGGCTGTAAATCTGAACAATGTCATGGGAGCAGTATTTTATAATGGTAAAAGTGACAAATTAATTCCATGATTAGAAAGTCCCCAGGCAGAAAAAAAAAAAAGCTTCTTAATAGGGCAGAATAAGTAAATTACAATAATTAGGATACCATGGATAGTCACATGTGCTTGTCTACTGCTAAAAGAAACTTGATTCAGTTAGCTGAGAGCTTCTCATTATACTTGCACTCTGCTGCCTGATGTCTAGCTCTGGCAAATATAGCATGAACTTTGCAAGGAGGTTCACTGATTTCACATCAATTACCAGATGCTGATAGGCATGGAAATATTTTGACTCTGGAGACAAGTGACAGCTGGTGTTGCTGCTGCAGGAAAGCAGGAATAAAGCACCTGCTCTGACAACTACTGTGCAATGAAGGCAGGGCTCCCTGCCAGCAATTTCAGCTCTCAGTAAATGCTCACATGTGGAAGGTGCTGCTGATACCTGCTGCCTAGGTTGCTTGTCCTCCACCAGCACTGCCCACGCTCTGGGTGGTGGTCATGTTCTTATCCCATCCAGCAAGGGAGACATATCCTTCCTCTTCACAAGGCTCTGGTTAAACAGCTAAGGAAATAAAAGGTCACCTTGGAATGGGCTGAATAGATTAAAAACCCATAGAATTTGAACTTGGTGCTCAAAATATATCTACAAATGAGGCTTTGGCCATTTATTGGGATTTTCAAACAAGTCGTGGCCCATTGCTAACAGTAAAGGAGACTGGACAAACAGTCACCACACAGGTGCAGGTTAAACAGACAGTCTGAATGGCTGTGAAGCAGAAACCTCCAGGATATGTTGGACATGGTCTGTGCCTGTGGCATGTGGGGACTTGCCACATGGCTCTATGTCCAACACAAAGCAAGCAAGTGCACCTATTTCTCTTTGGGAAACACAGAGTTTTAATCTACCTTACCAAAGGTATAACAGGAAAACATGATTTAAATGAATAAATGGAGACTAGGGAGTGATGCTCACACAGTAACTGCAGCAATTCCTATGTTAATGATTCTTTTAAGGATTTTACCCAATATCAGCTCTGTAGGGTATCTCATACACAGCTCGAACTATGAGATGAAAAGGAAGCACTGTTTTCTTTTTTTCTTCCCATGCTTCAGAAGGACTACCTGTACCCACCTACTGGTACTGTCTTGTTTACACCATGGTGGCAACATTGCAGAAGTAAAATAGTGTGACTCAGAGCTGAACCATGAATGCTTCCCTGCTACCTCTTTCAGAAACATTTTAATTTCTCTCCACACCTCTTCAGAATTTAACAACTAAATCCTGTGCTGCTTCAATTTAAAAAGCATTTTGCCAGTTCAATTAGCTTTCTTCTTTCTTCCTTTCTTTATTTATTTGCTGGGAAATGGACCATTTCATCCGCTTGGAGGAATGTGCACTTCCCTTCTGGTAGTCATTTCTGTAGCTGCTAGATGAGGCTTTGCCCCAAAAAGCTGCATGTGAGTCTGCTGCCATGCATGATAGCCTTGGAGCTGGGGTGCAGTTGTACCCTTTAGGGGAGGACCAAGGTGTGTCATGGGGTGTGAGAGGTGAGCTGGGGCTTCCCACAGCAAAGACAGCAGCTCCTACTCACCTGCAGACAGGTCTTGGTGCTGCGTGATGGCAGAGTCGCTGAAAGCCCGGACCTTATCTCTGCCTGGGTGCCTTTACATGAGGCATGCAGGTAGCTTACTGTCTTGATCCACAAACTCTAGAAGTCCTGTTGGCTGTGCCAGCACCAAATTCAGAACAGATGTGCAAATTAGTATTAATTACAAATCCAACTTCCCAGGCCAACGGAGAGTTCATTACATCCCTTTACAATCTCCCCCATATGCATTTAATCTATGTGTAAAAAGGCTCTAAGCAAGTGTCAACTGCCCTCTGCCAAATACAGTAAAATGAAAAGATCAGAGATTATCTGAACACCTGTGGCCTCCCTCCACTTCTGGAGTCCCTTGGCTCTGCATACCCAACTCTTGGGGACCTGAGACACAAGGTGCAAACTAGAAACCTGCTTGGAGAGCCTGGGGTGAAGCCAAAATCTCCAAATAGGTTCAATGCATCCTGCTGAGAAAGGAGTACCTATGATCAACAGGGCTAGGGGTCTTCATCAAGGCTGGAGGAAGGACCTCCCCAGTCCCCCAGTAGCTCCGAAGCTTAGGCAGTCCTGAGTAGTTTCATTTATTTTAAAAGAAACTCTGTTGGTAAATGAGATGCCATACTTTTATGCAACTGAGTAAAGGTTAGGGTGCTCAAATGCAGAAAAGTCCTAGTCATTATTTCTTCTTTGGCAAGACTGTGTTCCCACCACCATCTCCTGCCTTCCACATCTAGTACCTTTCCTTATTTTGTTTCCTGATGTGTAGATCTGAGTCTCCACCTGTGCAGCAAGGTACAAGAGTTTTGCAGTTTTTACACAAAGTTGTCTGGGAATCCCAATCCCATGCTGCCAGGTGAGAACCCCAACCACTGGGCCAGAGGTTGGTGCCATGATCCTGGTCCCTGTGTTGTGCAGCATCACCCCAGCAGGGACACCAAAGGATCAGAGCTCTCAGGAGAAACAGCATGCACATTAAATCCACTACAAATGATTACAAAAGATTTTTCATGAATAATTAAAATTCCTGTCCTTTTTTTTCAGGAAGGACAGACAGTGACCATCCTCCTCCACCCCCCCCCCACTCCCACCCCAGTAGCATTGCCAGTATCTGCATGTTGTAGCGCAGGTAGCTTAGATATTAAACAGGACTGTAGAGCCATGCCGGTGTAAGCACAAATATAAGACCACATACTTATCATCCACAGAGAATAACGTTCATTACAAAGTTCAGGACCTACCACCTCCAGCAAAGAGCTGAGAAGACCGGTGTGCAGAGAGAAGGTTTACATAGGCTAGTTTTGTAAAACTATCAGGTAAGAAGGATGTGGTTCCAGGTGCCCTCAGAGCCTAAGCCAGAATCTGGGGCCTTATCATTTCATCAAATGCTGGAGTCTCTTATCTCCTGGAAAGTATTTGCCTATACTATTGCTCATTCTGATTTTACAGCAGACTGCACAAAGCATCTCATCCTTGAATACATAAGAGAAAAATATTAATGTGTGCTGTCAAATTTCTGGGGTAATCTCTGCAAATGCAATCATACTTTTTAGGAAAATAGGCAAACCAAATAATTCATAAGTGACTTTGTTATCTTTCAGTGGAGGGAGAGGAGGAAAATTAAGCCTACACAAATACAGTGTCAGGAACTCCTTAACACAGCCGATGCAATATGCTGTGATGAGTGATGCTAGTGCTGGACTGTCACACTGAGAATGAAATAGTCGATCACCTTCTGAAACAAATCTGCAATGCTCTGGGGTGGGCTGGCTTCATCTACTAGCTTAAAGGCAGCACAAAAGTGAACTGACTATATGACAGCCCAGCTTTGGGTAGCTCTGAGACAGACGATTAAAGCAGTTTTATACTACCATCCCTCACACTTCTGATTTCATGGTTCGCGCAGCCCATAGCGTTCGTGTCTGCCTCTCCTATAAAATCAGACCTAGAAAATAATTTCCTTAGTTTGTGAGGTGTTTTAATTAGGCACACTTAATCATCTTACCCCTTTTTGTGATTAAGAAAGAACAGTGTTTCACAGTTTTTAATAGGGTTATCAAGATCATACAATTATGGATGGGCTATTGAGTGACCTAATATTATGTGTTCTTGTTCAAAATATTATATGAAAAAATAGATAGATAGATACATTATGAT